TTTTTGACTTTCAATCCCCGCGCCTTCCCCTTCTTCCACTGGTGAATTGTCTTCACCATCGCTGGTGCGCCTTCACATTCTCCCTAATCAAAGCTTTCAAATTCCAAACTTCAAAATCTGCTCTGCGATATGGATGGACACCTGCGACGACCAAAATTTTGATAAAAGCCCCCACCTTCGCCGATCAGAGCTTCTCACATTCCAATCTTGGAAATATGCTTTGTGTCATGGACGGACAGCTTCGATGCCCCAATTTCTGATAAAAGCTTTGCTCATTCCCCATACCATTGCCGCCCAAATTTCCTACCAGCCCTTCACCAGGTATTAATATAGACTTAAGCTTCGATGCCCCAATTTCAGATAAGAACTATGCTCAATTATTACCTTTTCTTGTTTGATTATGAACCCTAATTTCTTAATTACTGTTTTTTTCATATTTACATCCTGAAACTGTGGTAAATGTATGTGAACTACTACTCACAGGCGTAGAATATCATTTTTGCATCTCAACTGATTGCCTGCTAGGTATTATGTATTTCTCTTTCGTTGTGGTGGCACCTAATTCATTGAGGGAAAAAAAGTGAATGAGAGCCTCAAGCTGTTATGAAGCCTGAAATGAGAGGCTTACCGATAATTTAGCACAACATGATATGTCCAACTAAGTTTTGTTGGTTGAGTCTTCAAGTTACGAACTTCATACTTTGTAACTTAGAGTTTCTGAAAAATGCATTTCGTTGAGTATAATTTGGAGAATATTAAATATGCAGTCCATTGCTATTTGAATACAACCTACTCCCTCCGTCCCATTTTATAACGTCTATTTTGACTTTAGGCCATATTTAAGAAAGGAAAAAATTAAAGTTGACTTTCTAAAATTGCCCCTCATTTAATTTTTTAAGGTGGGTAGGAGTAAGAAAGGGTGGGTAGGAGTAATTACATGGGAGGGTATTTTGGGAAGTCTACATAAATAATCATACCAAATAAGGAAAGAGACATATCATTTTGGGACGAACAAAAAAGGAAAACAAACATTATAATTTGGGACGGATGGAGTAATAGGTTTTGATTATGAGTATTGTTTGCTCACTTATACGTTCTACTTATTAGTATCATGTCTCTACCATAACTAATAGGTTCTGCTTATTAGTATTGTTTGCTCACTATGGTAATCACGGGTGTTTTCTTGTAGGTAATATTAAAATGTCGCTTTTGATTCCCACAAAAGATCATTTCCCTACCAGTATTTGGTTTGTGGAGAACTGGAAAATGCACTGGCCATTATAATGAGTAAATTGAGTGTAGAAAATTTGGTGAAATTTCGAGAAATGCTATTTGGTCATTTTATTGATATGCAAAAACTACAATTTTCTGGACAAGTCATCTATATACTTGTGCTACATCTTGTTCAACAACAACTTGAAGATGAGATGTGGTTTCTGATCAATGGTAGTCTAAAAAAATTCACCATTGAAGACTTCTGTAGAATCACCAGTTTGCCAGGTACAAAGTCATATGCAGGCTTAAGCAATGTGAATGCTACTTTCGAGAGTATTCACAATAAATATCTTGGAGGGGGCACGGTGAAATGTAGTTTCTCCTATTTGTGTGCTAAGTTTGTGACTACGGACGATGATATACCTGGTGGTGAATTAGTGAAGCTTGCAGCATGGTATTTTGTGGTGTGTTGCTAGCGAAAGATAGAGGTACTTGTATTGACGCCTCCCACCTGGAAGTAGTTGATGACCCTAACATGTTCGTTGCATACCCATGGGATTGGGAGTCATACATGTTGACCGTGCAACATTTGAAGGAAATGATGGACGGCCATCTAGAGAAATTCAAAGAAGAAAAATAACATCTCAAATGTGAAGTCATGGAAATATGCTTTGTACGGGTTTCCACTTGTGTTACAAGTTTAATTCATATACATTGCTAAAACTAAATTTCTATAATGTATAATAAAAAGTATTGATTTCCATGCATTTTTATTTTCACATTTGGGCATATGAGACATTTTCAGTCCTTGAAGATGATATTGTTGTGTGTAATCAAAAAATAAAATGTCCACTTCTATGTTGGAGAGCTGACAAGTGCCCACAATACCAGTTCCTAAAGCAGTTGTTATTCCTTGATGAACCTAAACATGTAGCAAATAAGCTGGTATAATTCTTGAGAAGTTGATAAATGCATCCTTACCATACGATTGGTGTTTATTTGAATCTCTACTAACTTTGTCCATAAATTCTTTTAGGACAATGCACTTGATTTGTTGTTTCGAACTGTTGAAGTTATTAAGAATAGTCTAAACAAAAGGATAGATGCATAGAGGAAAAAATTGATGGTTTGTGCATTGACGTGAAGGATGTGTTGGCGGTTCAAGGAAAGAAAAGGAAGGGGGTGGCTGAGGATGTGATGAGGGTTGAACGAAGCAAAAGGGGATGGGAGAAGAAGTGTTGAGCGTTCAACGAAGAAAAAGGAAGGGGATGGGGGCTGAGTTTCGAGGGAAGAAGAAAAAGCTTGTTCACGATGAAGAAGAAGAAGAAGAAGAGGTGGAAGAAGAAGGAGAAAGAGAGAGAAGAAGAATTAGAAGAAAGAGAAGGAGAAGAATTAGCAGAAGGAGAAGGGGAAAAAGAAGAAGAAGAAGAAGCCAAAGACATGAACGAAGACAAGCTAAATGAGGTTGTGGATAAGAAAGATGATTGGGGAAGAGATGGAAAAGCCAAACACATAAATGAAGACTTACAAACGGAAGAGGTGAATACAGTAACGCTTAATTTGCAATTATTTACACTTTCTTACAAATATTAATTTTGTGTTGACCTTGTTCCTTAGAATTTGGCAAGCGAAGCAGAATGCACTTGAGACGAAGGTGAGAAGCTTGTCCAGAATGCTGTGTATGATGTAAGTTTGTTTAGTTTTTATTATTCTGGGAACTAGACTCCTCTCTACCACTTATTTTGTATGATCAAACATGAATGAAATTTATTCTATTTTGCATTCTACATTTATGTAATTGTATCAAGATAATTTCATCAACACCCAAGAGTATGCTATGGCTTGTTGAGCTTGTGTATGAGCACGTATGTGTATATTATGGATATTCATACCCAAAGTATTGTACATACTATTACCCATTTACCTCACTTTTAATGAACTATAGGAACAAGTAATGGATGATGTGTTTGAGCAACAACCTTCTGCAATGCACCCAAAGAAGGATTTCATATCAGAGATCACTAACAAGAGGGTGAAGAAAAAATCGAAATTTGTAAAGACCCCCTATACTGACTCGGGACTAGTGATGAAAAAACAAAGCACATAATCCCTTCTCTATAACCATCACTCTTGAAGAACGGGATGAGCTAAATTGTTGGGTGGAAGAGGATGACAGTGAAGAACCTATCTGTGTACCCTTGAACTTAACAAATGTGCACTCCGTGGATCGTAGGTTTTTTAGAACCCTTATGACCAATGATGTGTGGTTGGACAACGATGTATGTATAATGAATACATTTCATTTTCTTTGTTTTTATCATATAACAGTAACTTCACTTTTTATATTCAGCACATCCAAGCCATGGTGGAGGAAATGATGTTAAGCGTTCACCAAGTATCTCACCTAAAAGTGGCGTTTTATGGACTAATGTTTGTGGTAATTCTTTTTTCACATTTCTAATGTTGTTCCATTTTGTGTGCTATCAAACATTTTTATGTTGTGTTTTAAATTGATTTTTCGGGCTTTTTGTAGTTCCATTTGCTAGGCAAGAGGGTTGGTGATAAATCATGGCCCCATGAAAGATACCTAAGATGACTTGATTGGACACATTTGGAGAAGGTAATAAACTTTTATAATTTCAATACCCATATATAGGAAATGCTAATGTTTTTATTTGTATAAATAGGTGTATTTTATATTGAACGTAAGATTAAAGCATTGAGTTCTATTGGAGACTGATATGGTAAGGAAAGAGGTTAGAGTTTGTGATTCAATGGCATCTTTAAGATCAACTTCCAATGTTGCACAAGTTGTTCAAAGGCTACCCGCTCTTTTATGTACGGTAAAATGTAGAGAAGATCAAACATCATGCAATGAGTGGAAGACAGCCGTTGCGACAAAAGTGCCCCAAGAAAAATCTAAGTAAGCTTGGCTTTTAAGACTTGTCTCAAGTAACATCTTTGCCGTCTAATATCCAAATATATTATTACTTATTAGACGGAAAAGATGTTACTTGAGAAAAGTCTTAAATGCCAAGCTTACTCAAATTTTTGTTGTGGCACTTCTGTCGCAGACTGTCTTCCACTCATTGCATGATGTTTGATCTTCTCTACATTTTACCGTACGTAAAAGAGCGGGTAGCCTTTTAACTTGTGCAACATTGGAAGTTGATCTTAAAGATGCCATTGAATCATAAACTCTAACCTCTTTCCTTACCATATCAGTCTCCATTAGAACCCAATGCATTAATCTTATGTTCAATATAAAACACACCTATTTATACACATAAAAACATTAGCATTCTTAAATATGAAATATATGGGTATTGAAATTATAAAAGTTTATTACCTTCTCCAAATGTGTCCAATCAAGTCATCCTAGGTATCTTTCATGGGGCCATGATTTATCACCAACCCTCTTACCTAGCAAATGGAACTACAAAAAGCCTGACAAATCAATTTAAAACACAACATAAAAATGTTTGACAGCACACAAAATAGAACAACATTAAAAATGTGAAAAAAGAATTACCACAAACATTAGTCCATAAAACGCCACTTTCACGTGAGATACTTTGTGAACGCTTAACATCATTTCTTCCACCATGGCTTGTATGTGCTGAATATAAAAAATGAAGTTAGTGTTATATGATAAAAACAAAGAAAATGAAATGTATTCATTATGCATACATCGTTGTCCAGCCACACATCATTGGTCATAAGGGTTCTAAAAAACCTATGATCCACGGAGTGCACATTTGTTAAGTTCAAGGGTACACGGATAGGTTCTTCACCGTCATCCTCTTCCACCAAACAATTCAGCTCATCCCGTTCGTCAGGAGTGATGGTTATAGAGAAGGGATTAGGTGCTTTGTTTTTTTCATCACTAGTCTCGGGTCGGTATAAGGGGTCTTTACAAATTTTGATTTTTTTTCTTCGCCCTCTTGTTAGTGATCTCTGATATGAAACCCTTCTTTGGGTGCATTGCAGAAGGTTGTTGCTCAAACACATCATCCATCACTTGTTCCTATAGTTCATTAAAAGTGAGGTAAAACGATAATAGTATGTACAATACTTTGGTTATGAATATCCATAATATACACATACCTGCTCATACACAAGCTCAACAGGTCCAGGAGATAAACAAGCCATAGCATACTCTTGGGTGTTGATGAAATTATCTTGATACAATTACATAAATGTAGAATGCAAAATAGAATAAATTTCATTCATGTTTGATCATACAAAATAAGTGGTAGAGAGGAGTCTAGTTCCCAGAATAATAAAAACTAAACAAACTTACATCATACACAGCATTCTAGACAAGCTTCTCACCTTCCTCTCAAGTGCATTCTGCTTCGCTTTCCAAATTCTATGGAACAAGGTCAACACAAAATTAATATTTGTAAGAAAGTGTAAATAATTGCAAATTAAGTGTTACTGTATTCACCTCTTCCGTTTGTAAGTCTTCATTCATGTGTTTGGCTTTTCCGTCTCTTCCCCATCATCTTTCTTATCCACAACCTCATTTAGCTTGTTTTCGTTCATGTCTTTGGCTTCTTCTTCTTCAAATTCTTCTTCTCCTTCTCCTTCTGCTAATTCTTCTTCTCCTCCTTTTTCTCCTTCTTCTCCTTCTCCTTCTTCCACCTCTTCTTCTTCATCTTCTCCACAGTGAACAAGCTTCTTCTTCTTCCCTCGAAACTCAGTCCCCATCCCCTTCCTTTTTCTTTGTTGAACGCTCAACACTTCCTCTCACATCTCCTTCCTTTTGCTTTGTTCAACCCTCATCACATCCTCTGCCACCCCCTTCCTTTTCCTTCCTTGAACTGTCAACACATCCTTCACGTCAGTGCACAAACCATCAATTTTTTTCTCTAATGCATCAATCCTTTTGTTTAGACTATTCTTTAAATCGCCAACAGTTCTAAACAACAAATCAAGTGCATTGTCCTAAAATAATTTATGGACAAAGTTAGTAGAGATTCAAATAAACACCAATCGTATGGTAAGGATGCATTTATCAACTTCTCAAGAATTATACCAGCTTATTTGCGACATCTTTAGGTTCAAGTTTAAAATGCACTTTTTCAAATATAGGGTGACAACAAATGAAATAGAGTGGTGAAACTGAAAAAGGCACTTCTATCTCATTTGAAATCAATACACTACTATTTTGCATTGCCAAGTATTAGTGACAGCCATTTTAATTACAATGATGCAAATATTCAAGTTCACAATTATGGGGAATACAATCCCCATTCCCAATAAAAGAACAATCTTAATAGTATTGACAATATAAAGTTCAATAATCTACATTATTTACACATGCCATTCTCTTAGCTCAAAGAGCTTTCATAACCACTTTGCTGGTTGTATGAACGCCCACAGCAGCAAGTTTCAAAACTCTTCGACTGTTGTACAACCTGCAAAAGAACTCCAGTAAATACACATAAGCAGGTCCCTTGCATTGGTCAAATCTTTCTAGTTCTGAAGAAAAAGTAAGTTGGAGTTAAATTCTGCTTTCACGAAAATGTGGCTAGACATAGCTTCTTTGAATGTTTAGTTTTATTCAGAAATTTATCAAATCAACGTATTTTTGAATAATTTTACAATTCGAGCAAGCATGGAATAGTTGCTCTAAAAAGAAATAGACTGACATCGGAATATAAGTATGAATAAGAGAACAATGAAGAAATATAACTTCAAAAGCTTAAAAACATACCCTGCAAGAGCGAGTCCCCATGTAGAGAATGCATAAAACAACTTTCCCGCACTCCAAATGTTGAGCATCGTCTCCAACTTGTTCATGCCACCCAGTGCTTTTGTCAATGCTGCAATTTTAAGTTCATGTCATGGAAACAATAGATCACATGAAGAAAATTCAATGTGAAAGAGAGTTGTTTTAACTTTTAACAGTGACAACATACCAAGTACATCTTACTACTGCTGCTATAGAAGTAATTACTGTAATTAATTATATATGCTAATGTGCGGGGTGTGTGTATGTGTGTGTGTGCGCGCACACAAATAATTGTATTCTCTGAATCCATTTCCCTATGTGAACACACTCAAATGAATTTTAAACTGTAGAGAGCATGTGCCTCTGCTTCATCCTGGTTCATTCCATTAATTTCTCCTTCTCAAGCATTGTTTGCTTCAAATTCAAAACCTAGATTGGGATGTGAAGATGGTCAGATGAATATGTATGCTGTTGCTGACAAAGTTGAGTTTTAAAAAGCGCTAAACATTACTGAAATGGCTTCAAAGTTTTCATGCCTCCACATATCAAGCCCTTATAGGAAATGATTCCTGCCTTGAAGATTTGATTAGTTTCAAAATGTAAAATAATATAGTGCCCAATGTTTTAATGTTAAAAACTAGGACCAATTGTAGACTCAGTCAATGTACTGTATCATTGTTAACCTGGTGCAACACTATTGAACAGCATGACTCGATTGTAGGTCTGGCAGGGGGCACTGGACCAGCCTGGAACAGATGGTTTTTACAGGTTCTGATCAACAAGTCCGGTTTTTGGATATTTTTTTCTTGTAAAAATCAGAAATTATAGATGTTGGGTGGATTCAATCCAATGACCTCTTGAATTATTCAAGAAGAGAGTCTGAACCACTTAGACTAATAGTGCTCTTTGTTACTTGTTTGACCTGTTATATTACCAGATATTCTGAAACAAAAGTTTTCAATACTTCATGAAAAATGCTGGACCTGAAATTTGAACACATAACTTCATTTATCACGTTTAAGGTTCTTACCAACACTTGGCATTTTAATACTCCACAATATATACTCCCTACTTCCTCTATCCCATTTCTCTTTTGCGTTTATCCCACTAATTTTGTCTGATACAGTGAAACCATAGTACCATACTCTTTAACTTGAATATCAACCACTTACCTTCATACGCTTAGTTGGTAGCTATGTTGCACTGATTCTTCATATAGGTCCCGCTTCCCGTCCCCAAGACGTCCACGTTTTGGTACTTGGGACGTCCTGATGACCGACACTCAATTCCTTTATAAAATTTTGAAAAGTTGGTGGTTCCATGTTTCCGACCCCGTCCCTGATAAATAAATACCCGCCCAGGTCTTGGTGCAACTTAGGTTGGTAGAGTACTAGAGTGGAAGAATTTCTTGTGTCATCAAGTCTTCAACTCTAATGCTAGACAATATATTTCAGTTCTTATTGTGTATTTCTCGCCTAGTTAGTAAAAGAGCTGGTTTAATATTGAGCTAAAACTAGGCTAGGTTTGTTGGTTGAACCGGCAATTTGACTGTGTCAAATCAGTGAGCGAGTCAATTGCACAACCAATCAAACATGACACTCGAAAAGATTATACCACTGATTCCCAATCAAAGAAGCATGTCCGCTCTGAGCTTTAAAGCATTGATGGTGCTGTGAGGTATAGATGCTCAAGCCATACATAGTGTATGTTGCACTGCAATTTTTAGCAGACTATTTTAAAAAACTAACACCGGAGTGTAAACTTACTCTTTTGCAGCTGCTGGGGAGTCATGTTCTGCAATTATGAAAAACACTCACACAGTAAAACATATTGCACCGTAAACCAGTTACTTCAGGTTAAAATCAAGGAGGTCTCCAGTATTGCAGTTACCTGAGCTTTCTTGTTGGACAAAATGCATCTTGCCATGAAGGCTGCAATGGCATCTACAACCAGATCCTCATTAACAATCACATAATTGTCATGATCAATTTCACTCCTTTCCTCAACGTTATTGGGAACCATATCATCTGTCACCCAGACCCACCAACTTGGTTCTTCATGATCCATCTTAATCAACACTTCAGCTGTTCCCACATTACAAATTAATCAAAGATTATAGCTCGGATAACTGATCAAAAAAAAAGAGAGCTGGACTTCTTTTTTTGTGAATTACTCAGCACCCAAAATCTATAGAATGATGACATTCCAGAATGTTTTTACAAAAAAAGAAAAAATAATAGAGGAAGAGAAAAGAATAAAAAAAGTCTACCTGGTGCCTCGTTGAAAGGAAATTTACAAGCATCATCAGGTACTGAATTTGTGTTCATAAATTCCAGTTGTTTCAAAAAGTTTCCAGACTCAACGGCAGCAGTTAGCCTATCATAGAGCTAAAACTCAATGGAATTGAGATAATAGAACTCGTGTTAGAGAGAAACAACAAACGTTTTCTGAAATTTTTTAACTATCTGTTTCTTATGGGATGAAAGTAAATACACGTCCAATTCATGCTCCAATTACCAACAAAATCTTAAATTTTTGCGATTAAAGTACATACATCAGAAGGGAAATCTAGCGATGATTTAGGAGATTGTGAAACAGGCCGTAGAAGTTTAAGATTTTGTTCAAGCAGTTGCCTGAGGCGTTGGTTTTCAGATCGCAAGGCCTCTAAATCCCCATCTACTCTGTTGGATTCCAGCGACGGTGGCAACTGCGCCTCCTTGTGGCCGTCCCGGTGATAGTGGTGACAGCATTCCACGGCGGTCCATGCCACGTCGGCCACCTCCAACACTGTCTTTGCTAGTTCAATCGGATGATGAGCTTTCATGTTTCGCCTTGGAGACTATGAACTGAAACTAATTGATAGAATATGATAAGGTTGATTTTAAGGTATGCATAACCCTAGGTCTCTTTGTGTATTGTGAAGTCTGAAAAGCTCAAAACTAAAATTTTTCCTCTAGACATGAAATACTTAATATGGATTAACGCCTTTTTTTTCTTCAATTTATTTTTATTATTTACTATGTCCTAAAATGTTTTTCTTAATTCCTATTCGAACAATCAAACTTTAATTACTTTTTTTACCTATTTTTGTTAGTTATTTGATAAAATAATATAATATTGTCATATTTTGTTTTGTAGAAATTTTTGATATAATTTTTATATATATAAATTTTATTTTTAAATTTTACACCTACAATCAAATAGAGATTGGATTGAAAATAAAGTCGGTCAATCCTCGTAAATAGAAACGGAAAGAATGTTTTAGGACGGAGAGAGTGTTAATTTTTCTTATTAGAACCAGTTCAGATCAGAAATTGTTTTAAATATGTGAAATTTGCACTATGTAGTACTAAAACATATGTCATTTCCCAATTTGTACTTAAACTTTTTTATTTTCTAAATAGTACTTGAATAATGTCTGGTGGCAAGAACAATGTCTAATAACGGTAGTCACTTAGCTTGAACAATGTCCAGTGACAGTGGATATTTACTTAAACAATGACCAGTGGCACAATATTGAGAAATAAAAACATATAGTACTACATTGGAAAAGTCCCTATGTTTTAGTACTATTTAGGTAAATTCCCCTTTAAATATAACTATATCCAAACCAGATTAAAACTTGTTCCAATCAGATCAGAACCATTCAGATCACGTGAAGAAAACATGACCTAAGTCCTCGAGACTAGTCATATTCAAGATAGGTGGCTTCAAATGGTCCTTCATTTTGTAAGAGCATCTGTGTGGTGGCCCCATAGCTTTATTAAAAGTCAAGTATTTGAAGAAACAAAGACAGCATTCCGTTTAACTTATTTTTTTTACTTATTACTTATTCTTATTATTATCAGATCAGATCAGACCAGACCAAATTAGATCAGATCAGATCCTAAACAGCTTTAATTATAACTGCAATGAGATCATATCAGATCAGATCAAATCAGACCAAATTAGATCAGATATTCAAAGAATCAGATCATTTCAGATTAGGCAAGCAGAACGCAGCCAAAGAGTGATTATGGAATGAAAAATACGGAGCACTCGTAGCGAAGGAGTATTTGAGTGACATTAGTATTTTAGTTTAATTTTAGAATTCTTTGAATTATCTTCTCATTTAATTTTTCTGGATCAAAATTTGTAAATTTTGCCTATGAAGACAAATATATTCTACTTTTATATAAATTTAAAGTTATTAATTATTTCTTAAAATGTAGTTTTTTTATATTAATTTATATAAAATATATATGTATAGATATTGATATTAATAATCAAAGTGATACATTAGATACCGTGAACGTTGAATAGAAAGATTAAATCTCGACAGATGGAGTGTTACGTAAACACCCTCAGCTCCATTCGACATCAATTGTGCATTACTCCGTAAGACTTTTATCATAAATTGAAAAATGAATGAAGGTTAACATATGTTATATATACATAAATCCATTTTTCAATGTACCATAAAAATTATGAAATTATATTTATTGGGTTCAAATAGTATTCTTAATTCACATAAAAAGGCAGACTGTGGAATTTTTGGTGGACGGTGGGAACATTATTTCTCTATAGTTACGTGATTTTTGTTAAAGAGTATAACCTATGATATTTAGGCTATCTTTTTTAAGTTGGAATTTTAGAGTTGGATGTTGGAAGACTTAAAGGACTTGAAAGAAGCTGGAAGAAGTTGGAAAAAAGTAGGAGTTGGAAAATATGAATTTATATATTCACACCACGACACCTGTCTATATATACTCTGTCATTTATTTCATTATTTTTTGAATAATACAATCATTTCATTCTTCAATATGGTATCAAAGCACCCTCCACCACACCACGAGCCCCGTCGTCCAAGAGCCAAGCCATCTCAAATCTGAATCTCTGACAGCCTCTTTCCCCTCTACACTTTGTCTCATAAATATCAGGAAAGAGTGCATATTAGTCTAATGTTCGGTAAGGATATTAGTCACCCAAACTGTAACGCCCCAAAATATACCCTAGAATTATTAATGAATAAATAATCAATTAATCAAATTTGTTTTGATTAAAATAAATTATTGTTGGGCTTTGGGCCGATACGAAATTTATTTTGACATCTAATATTAAAATCTGGATAAGTCTCATAGAGATAAATCCAATATGTGGACTATTTGTGTGGTCTTGATTGGGAACCTGAGCACAGACCCAAATCAAGAGTAAATAAAGAATTTGTTTAGAATGTAAATATTGAATTGATTTGTTAAAATAAATCATGAGAATAATTGATATGAATTAAATATGAGAACCTTTTATGAGAAAAGTCAATTAAACCAATTTTTACTCTATCAAAGTCAACCACCCAAAAATATGATGTCGGAAAAAATATTACAAATAAATATAAAAATTATATCGTTAGATAGAGTTTAACTGCCCGATCGCAACGGTGCAAACGGAATTCAATTCGGAGAAAGTTGGACCAAAAAGTGTACCCCGACTCGAACCAAAATTGGTCCCAATCAGGGACACTGTGCGAACGGCGCCTCCCAACGCACTAAGCCGATTGTGAATCTTCCTACGCTCAGCAACCAGTGTCTTCTTCTTCCTCAAATATACTATATAAAGGGAGCTGAGCATTCTCAATTCTTCACCAAAACCTATACTTCCTTGTTCTATTCTGTTGCTCAAAGTAAGGAGAACGCAGTGGTGCTGTCAATTTGGTGAGAGGTCGCCGGAGCAAGACGTGGTGTTCGCCGGAAGTTTCGCCGAAAAATTCTCAAAACCTTCGATAAGTTTCGAGGTAAGCCCGTAGATATATCTAATGACTAGAATGTTCGTACAGATCGTTTCTACGTTCATAAACGGTCGTTTGGTTGAGTTTTGTGTTTGACATGCTTAAAGAACCAAGAATCATAAACCATTAAATTGATGTTAAAACTATGAATTAATGATGCCAAAATGATCTATGAACCTTGGAGAACATCTCTATATAGTTTCGTTGAAGTTCGATAACTAAAAACCGTATTTCCGAAATTGGACCCGAACGAAGAAGACGATGAACAGTGGCTGAAAAGCCACTGTCTGGATCGATCCAGGGGCTTGGATCGATCCCCTGGGAGTAAATTTTCATAGTATGGATCGATCTAGAGGGCTGGATCGATCCCCCGAAGTTCTGATCCGAAAATTTGTCTGAAATTGCTATTTTTGAGCTCTAAAATCCTATTTTTGATACCAATGGATTATGACCATTATAAAAATGATTTACCATAATAAAAATGATGTTTTTAACAGCTAAAAAAATGTTATGTGTTGCATGACGGTAAGTTCGGGTGTTAACACTCGAAGCTAGGCCGCTATTTATTATCAATTGTTGTGTTAATTAATGATTATGATAAATGAATATTATGGATGATTATGAGTATTGACCCTACTGATTAAAATAAGTATTTATGATTGAATCATGAATAAAATGAATACATTTATAATTATGAAATGATTTGTAGTGTTACGGGTATCTAGAAGAACTCTAAGGTATACACATTTAGAGAATTGATGTTAAGGCTATCTAGAAGACCTCTAGAATAGATCTCATATTAGTATGAATTTGTGAAACATAATATTCGATGAATTAGATAAAAATGTATAAACGGGATTCGTAGACTAAGCTAGAGGATCACTCGTTTGGAAATACTTCGACTCAATGATGATTAACTATTGTCTTATTGTTGCCTTAAACTAATTATAGTTTAAGCGTCTGAGTATTGTTTGCCTTAAACTAATTAAAGTTTAAGCGTCGGAGAAATGTTTGCCTTAAACTAATTATAGTTTAAGCGTCTGAGAAATGTTTGCCTTAAACTAATTATAGTTTAAGCGTCTGAGAATGAAATTATGATCTGGCCTTAGACTAAGAATAGCTAAGAGCATTATTATGATCTGGCCTTAGACTAAGAATAGCTAAGAGCATTATTATGATTTGGCCTTAGACTAAGAATAGCTAAGAGCATTATTATGATCTGGCCTTAGACTAAGAATAGCTAAGAGCGTTGTTATGATCTGGCCTTAGATTAAGAATAATTTAAGAGCACTATTGAAATAGTATCTGAATTGAATAAAATGTGTTGGTATGAACTGAACAATACCAAAACTGTGAATGTCTTAAATGAACATTGTGTGCATGATATCAAATGATTTGATTATGAATTTAGATTCAGTTTATATGGATGTTNGCAGATGGGGCGAGATTGTCGGGATGGATGTGACAAGTTTGAAATGATTTATGATATGTCAATATTAAATTCGCTTCCGCAATATTGTTAAATACTCCGTACTGTATATGTTATGAAAAATATTATTGAGATTAATAAAATGTGTTTGAAAAGTTTTAAATTTTACGATTACCAAGTTAAATACTTTAGTCCGAAAGGGGCTGCAGACCTGGACGGATTAGGGTGTTACACGAACAACTTCTTGCATTTCAAACCAAGACCCATTAGCCACGACCCTATCAAGCGTAGACCTGGCAAAACAGACCAGAACCTAATAATCCAAGTCGATTAAACCTGAAACTGAATTGGCACAATATTAATCAAATTCAAAACAAATTAAACTCAAATCCAGTCAAACCTAATAGCTCATTGGTTGATGTCTTTTTCCAAGAAGCATTTTTAAATTATAAGTACAACTAATTTCATGTACAAATCTTTTATTTCGCATTTTATCACTTAAACTAAGGTGGTTGTCTATTTTTATAAATAGTATGTATAGTTTATAGTGATACCGTAACACACATTGATGGATATACTGACTCATTATTGTTGACGCGTGTATATATACCCCCTATACACACAGGGAATGGAGGTTACACACAACGATAACATTAGGAACTCTAATACCAAGGGATGTCATTTAAAACCGGTATAAACCTGAATCGATTTAAACCCGAACCAATATAAACTCGAACTAAAATAAATCTGAACGAAAACC